TACTGTGGACAATCCCCACAGGAGCACTTTGGGGTGAAGTGTCTCAGGGACACAACGACATGGTGACTGCAGTGGGGTTTGAACCTGTGACCCCCTGAGCCGAAAACAACGCACAACCCACTGCGCCACCCGCCTCCACGTTGACCAACAGGAGGGTTCAAATGAAGCCTCATGAGATGAACCCTTTCGCAAACCAATTGGCTGGAAAGCTTCAAAGCTTCATCTCGCCATCACTACCAATTACTAACGTGAGGACACGAGGAAGAGCAGCAGAAACATGGACGACGATCCGGACAGAACGAAGGGAAGACAGAACTAAAAACACAAAAGACTAAAAGACAGAGCAGCAGGTGAACACACTCACACAATCAGGAGGGAGAACACAGGAAGTCAAACCAGACAAAACACAAGGAGGAACCCATCATCATGAACCTTTGCAGAAATGATTCCAGGAAGTGCTTCAGATGATTTATTTGTGTGTGTGTGTGTGTGTGTGTGTGTGTGTGTGTGTGTGTGTGTGTGTGTGTGTGTGTGTTGTCAGTGACCTTCTGATGAGGATGGCTGTCACTGTGAGGATGAGCGCAGTGTGCAGGGTGAAGAGAACCAGAGGAACAATAGGTCCATAGGTATTCCTGTGAAACATATCAATGAACGGAACGATGGAGCACAGTAAGATAACAACTACATCTCCCAGAATGCTTTTCAACAACAATCACTGAGCTGTCTCACTTAAATTCGCGGCCATCTTTAAATCAATCCTTTAAGATTCTTTATTTGAACATGTTGTACATGTTCAGTCAAATAAATGTCATTCACTACCACCAACAGCTGAGAATTATGGGTATTGTAGTATTTGAACCTGTTTTATGCATATTTCTTTGCAAACCTACACTGTGATAATACTGTTCTGTGAGTGGAAATATGATTTTCTCTGTCTGATTTTATAAGAACAAAAAGTAAAAGAACCCATTATGCAGAAATGCTCTTGTACTACATTACATCTTTTAGGTTTTTAACTATAAATCTACAAGGATATCATGAACTATAGCCGTCAAATACATAAAGTGATGTTAAAGTACTACAAAATATACAGTATATGTGGGAATGAACCAAGTATATTTACTCATTTATGGTCATTACATCTTAATGTATATTTACCAAACAGTCTTGTTACTGCTCATTGATGTGTGTGAATTAAATATAACGTGTCATTATGTCTCCTGTTTTTATTAGTAATGTTCATCAGAGCCGACACCCGCTGTTGTTCCGGAGCTAACACGATAATTACTGTGCACTCATCATCACAGAATAATGACTCTGTGATGATGAGTTTTGACACTTTGTGGCGAGATGAAGGAATAATTGCTTGTTTTGTCGAGATCATAAAACAACTTGTTTACCTGTTATTCATCTAAGATTGTTAAAAAAGTAATGTCTCAACACTTTGACATGAATTGGAAGCCTTTCTAGCGTCAGTGTGCACTTTAAGGCTCCAATGTAAGACCAATCAGTTTAATTACATCCAATAATCTACGTTTGGTCTCAGAGGTCGTCACAGTGGGAACAAAACATCCAACCTTTGACCTTTGACCTCCTCTCTGTGAAGAACAAAGGAGGATCCAGCTGATCAATAAACAGTCACAGGTTATTGATCTGTGTTAAAGTGGCTTATTGAACAAGCATGAGCTAAAGAACACGTGTTTATGCAAAATAACATTTGTGTGTACTTACGTTTGTGCTCATCAGAAAAAAGCTAAATAAAAAACCTTCTCTCCAAGTCAATCTCTGTCTTAGAGTGCAGCTGTTTTAAATTAAAAATAAATAAATAAATAATAATAATAAATAATACATGAATAATAAAAATAAGAAATAAATAATGTATGATAAAAACATGAAAATACATCATTAATAAATACATAATAATGATAATAAATAATTAAAATGCACTCTCAAATGTAGTGAAAATAGCATATTAATTAATCAATTATAATAAATCTAAATATTGATGAATCTCAATAAAACACACAAAGTGTCAGAATAAAAAGCTCAATAAAAAAACCGTGTATTAAGGTCTCCATCTGTCTTGTAAATTAAAATAAGTTTCAAAAGTTTGATTTATTTCTTTGGTTTCTGAAACACCACAGGAATACAGTTATAACTTATATAATAGTGTAGTGCTAAGTTAAATGATATAATTGTCAGTGTTTTTCCGTGTTATAATGCAGGTCATTCATTTTAAAAAGCCCTAAATATGGCATTTTGGAAATCTGAGCTTCTTCACTTCTCATCAGCTTCCTCCTCGTGCAGATCTAAATATAAGAGTGGCGCCATCTGGTGGTGAAAACACGAAACTGCAGTCACTTCAGACAGAGGGCAGAACAGAAATCCACACAGTCAGACTTCCTGTAGGTCAACTTGTCTATTTAATATATAAAATACGGTAAAACATACGCAAAAAGGAGGGGCGGGTAAGAGGGGACCAAGGGATACTTTGGTACAATAACAAACACTTTTTTTTGTAAAAGCAGTATAGAATTTGTAATAACATATCAGTGCATACTTTATTTATGAAAATATACACAAGTTGTATATCATTCTCCAAAAAAAACAACAAAAAAAGTTTCTTTACAACGAAAAAGCAGACTAGCCGAACACAATATATTAGCTATAATTTATTTTAAACTTTTTTTTTTTTTCCTGTGTGATGTATATTTGTGTGGATATTACATGTGTAGTTCCTATAACATGATTCACTCTTCGCCCATGCATTGACATCATTGTGTCTGGTCAGAAATAAGTTAGACGTGTGTGTGCGTGTGCGTGTGTCCCATGTTAGCGTGTGTGTGTGTGTGTGTTTGTACATTGGACTCAGAGTCGCAGCATTGAAGCGTTTCGCCACACGTGTACTAGTATCACTACGCTTGTGTTCATAGAAATCGTGCAACATTAGTAACACCCTTTTTTGAAGAAGAAAAGAAAACCCCAAAAAAAACAAAAAATATATTTATAGAATATTTTTATATAATAAAATAAAATCCAAAAAATGCCTATAACCTACACAAAAAAAAAAATCCATACCATCATGACAGCTGCCATCCGTGAGAGCTGCGGTCGTGATGATGAATATAATAATATCACTTTTCAGAGAACAATTAAAAACAGACTGTCACCAGCACAGATTAACACTGGAAAGTGAGACTTCTAAAC